CTCAGTCCTGCCTGTCTGTCTCTCTCTGTCTCAGTCCTGCCTGTCTGTCTCTCTGTGTCTCAGTCCTGCCTGTCTGTCTCTCTCTGTCTCTCTGTCTCAGTCCTGCCTGTCTGTCTCTCTGTCTCTCTGCCTCCGGCCGCCAGGGGGCGAGCCCGCGCGCCGCTCGCCGTTCTCGTTGTCATGGCGACGCCGAGCGGTCGGCGAGCGGCGCGTGCCCGGGGCGCTAATGGCGCTGCGCCGTCGCACCCCGCTGCACCCCGCCGGCGCCGAGGAGCGGACTGGTGACCCCCAAACACCCACCCACCCGCCGTGACCGCCAGCGCGCGCACCGTCGCGACACGGCTCGCGATATGTCGTCGAGCCGATTTTCAAGGGCGCGTGCCAGTGTGCGGGTGAAGAAAACGGAAGTAACGGCCTTCGCTCGTCTGCAGCGAGTGTGGTTTCTGAACCGTTAAAACTGATCAGCATCGCAAACGTCACGCATTTCTTTCTGAAGGGGGGGGAGGGGGGGTGAACTTCATTTCCCATCAGCCAGCGGGGAATGACCCTTGACCCCGAGCAACGGCGTTTCCTTCTCTGAGCGAGCGCGCCAGCAGCGGAGATAAAAGCACTGCGCGTGAAGCGGGTCGGAGAGAGGATCGGTGCTCGGAGCCCCGTTATTTCCCAGCTCCCTGCTGGAGCAGAATCGCCGCCGCGGAGCGACCCTGCGGCCTGTTGCAGCCGCCCGCTCGGCTCGCGCGCCGCGAGGCCCCGATTGCCTTATATGGCGAGGAGCGACACGAGCCGCTGTGGCGTGAGGCGCGCGGCGTTCGATTCGCTTCCATATTTGGAAGTGAGTTTCGTGAACCTGACAGGAGGGGGGGGCGGGGGGACGCGCGCGGAGCTCCGCACGAGCGTGCTGCTGCAAACCAGGAAGCTCTTCGGAGTGGGAGCGCAGCTCGCGAGCGGTCCGGGCGGGTTCGGGGTGTCATTGCTGCGCCTCAGCTCGTCTCTTCCTATAACTCGCTGAGGCGCCTGCATGAGCTTCTCCTGTCTGTGCAGCCGGGCTCGTCTCTGCCTCAGCCTCCCCCCTGTCTGCCTCAGCCTCCCCCTGCCTCTCCCCCTGTCTGCCTCAGCCTCTCCCCCTGCCTCTCCCCCTGTCTGCC